CACACACACACACACAGAGAGGCATACACACACATACACACACACACACACACACACACACACACAAGTATGCACACACATGCAGACTTGCAGCCACATGTATAATATAAATAAACACGAATATAAATAATAATAATGTTAAGCCAGATACAGAAAAAATAAAATAGTTTCAGTAAGAGTTATATGGCACTTGAAACACAATAAGGTCATGTAAGTGCCAAAAATTAGAGGTGTTGAAAGAGAATAACAAGCACAAAAAAGAAGGAGGAGAGATAAGAAAAATAGATAGGAAAGAAGGAGCAAACAGCACCAGAGCACCGCCAACATACCCACACAAAAGTTGGAAAAGTAATATTTTATATAGAATAAAATACCCACAATAGAGTACGAGTGTGTTCCTTCGGGGTATTTTGTAATCTTTAGGGAGAGGGGGAGGGTTGTTGGCTTTTTAAAAAATCAACAGTACAGAGCTGCCCCGTCTCCCACCCCAACCCCCTCCATCTCTCTCTCTCTCTCTCTCTCTCTCTCTCTCTCTCTCCTCTGTAATCGCCACAAGGGTGAAAGAGAGCATGCCGATTCTTAGATTATCTTCTTCAGAAAATTAACTTAAAGAACAATAAGTTCACAACGAAAAGGCCAAATTAATTACCCGGAACCAGAAGTAAAACAGCAACAGTACCATCCTCCCAACCCCATCCCCCCTTTATTTTTTTTAAAGAAAGAAAAGGAAAGGAAAAATACTTTTTAAAAACCAAATCATGTTGGTCGAAGATGGTAATACGGGGAGCCCACTGGGAGATCGGGTCTGGTCGGGGTGGTTTGCTAGCCAGATTGATGGCACAAAGCGGCTATCTTGGCACATGCCGATCGTGCCCGACACTTCGCCTAAAAAAAACAAATTTTAATGCGTTTGTTTTCAGGTGACGAGTGGGGTGATCGCCCTCGACCCGACCCACACGACCTGACCCGACCCCATCCACAATGAGCACCCCGTATAATTATAGGAAATCGTACGTACATGGTGTTTGAACTCGGGTCTGGACACTCGTATCCTGAGGGGCAAGCTGTGCAGGAGGTAGCGTTCTCCAGGGCGAAAGTTCCGTCGGCACAGGTGATCTGGAGGTCAGTCGTTGTTGACGGACAATAGCTGGACAGAATGAGATAAAATACGGTAAGATAATACTTTATTATCCCAGAGGTATGGAGGCGGGTGAATTGTTGTTGTTTGTAAGTCTTTTACGGCGCTCGCAACTGCATAAGGTCATATAAGCACGCGGGACACATTAAACATTTTCAGTTGGTAGGAAATTTCGAATTTTGCCCAGGTGGCGGCCAAAGCCTTGTCGTATCGATTTTAGACCACCAAGGGATCTTTAACGTGTACAACTTGCACAAGGGACCTCCGAGATTTTTCGCCCTTGTCCGAGAAAGCTAAGTGTAGACCTTTCCTACCAGAAGATCTGGGGGTGTGACAGAAAGACAGCAGTAAGAAGGAACCAAGGAGTAGCAGTAGAAAGGCTTCAGAAAGAGTCAGGGGCCCAGAGGAGGGGGCAAAGGAGGGGAGGGGTAGAGGCAGAAAGTGGAGACGAAAGCACACGACAGAACATTGCTAGAGAGCAGGAAAGGAGGTGACAGGGGACACCTTTAGAGAAGAAAATTTTTCAGTCGCTAAGCGGATTCGAACCCGGGACCTTTGAAAGAGAAGAAAGGCAAACACCTTAACCTCTAGGCCACAGGTGATATTGAGGTCAGTCGTTGTTGACAGACAATAGCTGGACAGAACGAGAACAGGACCAAGTGAATTTACAAAAAGAAATCATCAACGTAAGAGAGAAACAGACTCTGCAAGAATAAATTTCGTCAAAGATGCCATGTCTCGATGCTCCCATCTCCTACCCATCCCCAATTCGCTCTGTCTATGTTTCTGTTTATCTCTCCCTCTCTCTCTCTCTTCCCCCCCCCCCTCTCTCTCTCTCTCTCTCTCTCTCTCTCTCTTTTCTCTCTTTCTCTCTCTCCGTCTGTCTTCCCCCCTCTCTCTCTCTATCTATCTATCTATCTATCTATCTATCTATCTATCTATCTATCTATCTATCTATCTATCTATCTATCTATCTATCGGCGCGCTCATATGACCTTAGCAGTTGCGAGCGCTGTAAAACTCTATACTACTACTACTACTATCTATCTATCTATCTATCTATCTATCTATCTATCTATCTATCTATCTATCTATCTATCTATCTATCTATCCATCTACGAGTATCTTCTATCTATCTATCTATCTATCTATCTATCTATCTATCTATCTATCTATCTATTTATCTCTCTGTCTCTGTCTGTCTGTCTGTCTGTCTGTCTGTCTGTCTGTCTGTCTGTCTGTCTGTCTGTCTGTCTGTCTGTCTGTCTGTCTGTCTGTCTGTCTGTCTGTCTCTCTCTCTCTCTCTCTCTCTCTCTCTCTCACTCACTTTCTCTCTCTCTCTCTCTCTCTCTCTCTCTCTCTCTCTCTCTCTCTCTCTCTCTCTCTCTCTCTCTCTCTCTCTCTGTTCATTGCTGAAGTGTACCGGTAAAGGTTTATGACATTACATGTATTGTCTCTAATTTGTCGCTTTTAAGGACAAGCAGGCTAATCCATATTTCGGGGGTTTCCAGAAATCTTGACCTGCACCAAAAGTGGGCATTGCCCAACCTTTAGGGGACGTTTGGTTTCTTTGGTGTGTATATTTGTTTGGTTATAGAAAAAACTCTCCTTGACGTTTAAAGAAACTGAACAAGGGTATTCAATTTTTTTTTAAACAGTTTTTTCTTTCAGGATAGCGAACTTGGACGTAAAACCGACCAATTACCTTCCAGCAGGGCATGTCGTGCAACTTGTCTGAGAACCAATGGAATACGAGCCAGCAACACATGTGATCATCTGATTGGTTGTCGTAGAAGGGCACGCCTTCCCCGCCGGGCACTCAGTGCAGTCCGTGGAACCAGCCACGGCGAAAGAGCCGGGGTTACAAGCCGCGATTCCAGAACCATCTTTGTTGGGGCACTTGTGACCGGCTTCGCAGATTGTACAGGAGCTGTTTCCCCCAGTTGAGTAGTAACCCGTAGCGCAGGAGTACTCCAGAGCTTCTCTGTGGAATAATAAATGATAAATGCATGGTGAAAACGGGCGTTTTTTAATTAAATCAAAGATAAAAGCATTTTCCCGCCGTTTTAGTATTTTTTTAAATAGCGATTTTTTTGGCTCAATATTGTTTATGTCCGTATAAGGACACATTTCCAAGCGATTTTTTCTCTCTCAAAAACGTTGATTAAAGGCACCCAAAAAAAAAAAAAAAAAATGTTCAGTTTTCAAGGATTCTCAAGCTATTAGAGTTATCAAACTTCGGCGGCCATTTTCTCGCCAATTTTAACTTTGAAAACTAAGTGGCCCCAACCTTCTTCAATTGCAAAATTCTTCACTTTTTTCTTCAAAATCAAAGCAAATGAGCCAGCTTTTAAACGATACCATGAACTCCACATGCCCAAACATTGACGCATATACATTGGTTTTCCACCCCTATAAACGAAGTGAGATATTTTAAAAGTTAGTTTCCGAAGAGGCCAAGCGTCTGTAACACCTTAGGCAGGAAATGTGTATTTCAACTGTAGAAGAAATAAATGAATCAATGGTTTGCAGGGGCCGCTCGAATTCTGAGTACGTTGTTACGGCCTTTAAGACATCTATCTGTGTCATTTTAAAAGAGTTTTTTTTTCCAGAGAATGGTTGGTAAATTAGAATGTTGGAGGGTTTATTTTATACACAATCGAAATTGTCTATCTCGGACGGTCACCCATTGTCCACGAGAAACGTAGCCGTCTTAGACAGTTGGTCCAGTAACACAGAGTAAATGTAAGGGGGGGGGGGGGGGGGGGGGGGGCAAGAGGAGAAATGAAAAGCGACCGTTCGCTCAACAGATGATTAAAAATTTTGTTGCTTTATACAGGTGGCCGTTAGATCACGTTTAAGGGGGGTCTTTTTTTTTTCTTAAATTTTTTTTTTTTTTTACTTCAGTTACTGTAGTGAGGCTTTGTATGGGCTGGGTGGAGAGAGAGAGAGGGAGAGAAAGAGGGGGAGAGAGAGAGAGAAAAAAAGAGGGGGTGGGTGGATAGCAGAAGACTACATTTATTCAAAGCCCGAGTATTTTGGAATATACATGCAATGTCGACATTCATAATTCTTCACAAATAATTATAATTATTGTCTATTAAAATTTGACTTTGATCTGGTCTGCTCAAAGCTGGGAAACAAAGTTTACCCTTCTGAGCCACAGACAAACAGAAACATGCACAATGACGAAAAGACAGACAGACAGACAGACAGACAGACAGACAGACAGACAGACAGACAGACAGACAGGCAAACAGACACACAGACAGACAGACAACAAATAGGTGACTGGTGCAGCACGACATGAGGCAAGAATTACTCACGTGGTACTCGTGCAGTACTTCCCAGCCGGACATGACGTACAGGCGGTCACACCCTCCAGAGAATAGGAGCCGCTGCTGCAAGCTGTGTTCGCTGTGGGGTCAGTGCTGGAGGGACAGGCGAAACCTTTGGGACATACCTGGCACTGGATGGATCCAGCGGAGCTCTGGTAACCTGGGGAGGATCGTTGTCGTGGTTGGGTTTTTTTGTTTGTTTTGTTTTGTTTGGGGGAGGGGGGTATTTTTGGGGGCGGTGGGGTGGAAGGAAAAAAAGGAGAAGGGGGGGGGGATAAGGGAGATTAATAATGATAATATATAGCATTTGTATAGCGCAAATCCCGGCTCAACAGCAATCTCTATGAGTTTCTCAATCTATACTATTACATCAGCAGACATGAGAGCATTCTGAAACAACCTCAACTTCATGGTAAGCATACAGAGCAAGCGGCTATTTATAGGCGCTTAAACACTAGCATACTGACAAGATCTTTCGTTGTCTATGATCGGGTACCCATTCCCACCTTGGTGAAGTGAGGAAATTTGTGTAAAGCGCCTTTCCTCAGAACACAACGTCGGGCCTGCGGCTCGAACCCCCGAACCAGCAACCTCACGATTACGAGTCCGGTAGCCTAACCACTAGATAAGATGGGGGGAGGGGGAGTATGATAATAATTATACGTCTTATTTCACTGCTTTTTATGAAACGATTTACTTTAGTTGTCACTGTGTGCTTCGTTTTTCTTTAACTATTCGATTTTACATTGGGTTTACACCCCTAAAAACGATGTAAAAAATAGTAAAAGTCCGTTTCCGAAGAGGCCAAGTGTCTAACTCATCAGCCAGACAGATGTGTATTAGTTTTCAACTGTAGAAGCAGTAAATGAATCAATGGTGAGCAGGGATCGTTCGAATTCTGAGTTGTCGCGGTGTTGTCACATCTGCCGGTGTCATTTGAAAGAGGTTTTTCAGACAATTACTGAATAATAATAGATAGCACTTGTATAGCCCAAATCCCCGCTCAACAGCAAGCACTATGCGCTTCACATCTATACTATTACCCCAGCAGACCTGAGAGAATTCTGAAACAACCTCAACTTCCTAGGAAGCATACAGAGCAAACAGCCATTTATAGGAGCTAAAACACAAGCATACTGACAAGATCTTTCGTTGTCTATGATCGAGTACCCATTCCCACCTTGGTGAAGTGAGGAAAATTCGTGTAGAGTGCCTTACCCAAGGACAGAACGTAACAATACGTTTATTTTACTACTGTTTATGAACGGCTAAACCTAGTTGCCATTGTGGGTTTTGTTTTTCTATAATTATTCAATTTTACTTTCGTTTTGCACCCCTAAAAACGATGTGAGAAATTTTTATTCAGTTTCCAAAAAGGTCAAGTGTCTAAATCCTCAGGCAGGAAATGAGTATTTTAACTGTAGAAGCAATAAATGAATCAGTGGTGAACAGGGATCGTTCGAATCTTGAGTTGTCGCGGCCTTTGAAACATCTGCTTGTGTCATTTTAAAGAGGTTTTTCAGACAGTTACTCAGTGAAAATGTGCTTTCTTTCTCAAACTAGGTAAAAGATTTAAACAGTCTTATTATGAAACGTCAGAACAAAACTACGACATATCGAATGTTGTGCACATTTTGTCTTCTACCCATCCCAAGCGTACATACCCGACCACCCAAGGGGAAAAAAGTACGCGCAAGCGAAAAATACGTTTTGAAATATGACTTTTGTTTTTTTTTAAGTGCTATTGTATTGTTCTGAACAGCAGAGGTTATCAACAGTAAAATACATGTGTATTAATATCTGTTTTACGCAAACACAGGTCTACACACAGACATGTAATGACTCACGCACGCAGGCACGCACGCACATACGCACGTACGCACGCACGCAAGCACATACACATGCACGGACGTACGAACACAGCACACGTGCTGATCGTATACCCATACCAATGGACTCACTGACAATAAAATATCTTTGATTGCTTTTTTAAATTAAAGAATTTATTTTGGTTGGGGTTGTCAATAAATTCATCAAGGAAAAGGGTAGAAGTGTAGTGTTGAGTTTGTGATGCCACTGTGTTGTTTTTACCTGCAGAGCAAGCCGCAGGCGTGCTGGATGTGGTGGGACACTCGTAGCCGGCCGGACACAAGGTGCAGTTGGTGGTGGAGGCTGACGGGTTGTAGTAGCCAGAGGAGCAGGCCACCGGGTTGTCGCCCTTGTTCGTGCACTGGAAACCTGTCACCGTGGGATGGGAGATGATCATGGTGAAAACAGACAAAGAAACGCACACACGTATACACACACACACACACACACACACACACACACACACACACACACACACACAGAGAGAGAGAGAGAGAGAGAGAGAGAGAGAGAGAGAGAGAGAGGGGGGGGGAGAAAGAGAGATAGAGAGACAGAGACAGAGACAGAGACAGAGAGGGAAGGTGTGTATTCTCCAATTTTAACGGCCATCTTTGAAGACCCAGCTACAAGTCCTTAAGCATGAAGAGCCAAAAAGACCCATCAAACAGCCCAAGTTTATTTTCATACCGCTTTGGGCACCCACATCTTTACCACTTCCACAGTGATCCAGCTATACACTAATTGAGCAAACAGGGTTGACTGTTGTGTCTAATGATACTAAAAACGTATGGCAGGAACTTTGTACGACTCTTTTCGTCTATGCAGACGGTCACTTTAGCTTAAGATGGTCTCAATGTTGTCTTCATGCAGCTTCTTTCATGGCTAATTCTTCCTTTGTTTGAAGTGCAGATTCTGTCGCAGTGCTTGCATATCAGTGACGCGGGTCGAAGTTCTGTATTCCCGCTGTTTTACTTTCGTCGTTGGCGCTTCTCAGCCTCGTTGTTTCCAAGGCTGCTCTCTAGCATTATAGTTCTTCCTTTATCAATTAGGAACGTTACTAGTAAAGGTAGGAACTTTATTATTCCGTTATAACAGACAAAAATATTCTTTCCTTTATCAATTAGGAACGTTACTAGTAAAGGTAGGAACTTTATCATTCCGTTATAACAGACAAAAATAGTGTTTGTGTTACCTAGAACAATTTAATTTCTATAAGACCTATGAAGATGGAGCATGAGGTTGATTAATTAATCAATTGTTCCAAGGCGCATGGAAAATTCTGGTGCGGGTACGCGGAGACTGATGAAATAATCGATCGTCTGTGCTCTTCTTAGTCTTATGCAGTATTCACGTCTCTCTTCAGGTACAGCATATTTGCCGTTGTAGCTGCTTTCTTCTTTTTCTCTTTGAGGCTCGTCTTTACTTTCTTCTACAGCGCCGGCTTTTTAAAAAAAGCATTATTTAGGCCCTTTGTTCTCACTGGCAGAAGTTCGATTCCCGCCTTGAGAGAATTTTTTTTTATCGAGAGTCTGTCTCAAAGATCGTTCATAATAAGATAGTTCACTCAGACAAAAAAGTGTCCGCGGAAATCTGCGCATTGGTTCAGATAGCGCTGCAGTCTTTGTTTTGAAGCTCTATTTCTTTTCTCCAGAAGAAGAATGGAAATAGCACAGCTTGTTAGTTTCGCTTTTATTGTTTTTCATACCAATAGGGTAAGTCTGTTCGCAAAGTTCGCACTTTTTTGAAGAGGGCGCCACCGGATTTTGAGGACACCTTTTCGGTTGCCTCGAAGAGAGGAGTGAACTCTTTTGTTACACACGATCTTAGTGTTATGCAGTATTCACGTCCGTCTTCAGGTTCTGCAAATTTGCCCTTGTTGCTACATTCTTCTTTCACTCTCTGAGGCTCGTCCTTACTTTCTTCTAAAGCGCCGGCTTTCTTTGTGATGTATTATTTAGGCCCTTTGCCCTCACTCTCAGAAGTTCGATTGCCGTGTGGAGAGAATTTTTATCGAACATCTGTCTTTCTACTGGGACGTTATATCCTTCTTGATTAAACCGGGTTGGCTCTGTTAAGCAGGGTCGACGCAGCCCGCCCCCTAAATGATCTTAAAGCAGGCCACTGTGCCAGCGCCCTGATTTTGATCTAGTGTTATCGTATCTTGCTCAAGGACACATCCCAGTGACGACCCACCTAAACCCCATGTCCCCGAAGCATATTTGATATTACTATGAAGCTGAACTCATTAATCAGTTAGGCGTGCTGACAAAACGAGTTATTTCTCAGATTTTACCTTTACGGAAATTGGTACATCATCTTCATAGATGGGGTTTAAACAATTTGTAGGTATGTAATGGGTGGTTACTGGGATGTGTCCTTGAGCAAGATACGATAACGCGTGGTGGACTTGAAGAAAATGGCATCAATTGAATATCTATAAATCTGACCCCATGCAGAGTCGATTTTCTGCCGTTATTTCCATTCTCGAATTGCGAGAAGTAACTCATTTTGTCAGCACCTGAAGGCTATCTCGCTTATTAGTGGAGCAAATTTTACCATATTACACACACATATAAGAAGCATAGCAAGGAGTCTTAAAATCTCCAATCAAATTTGAAAAAAAAAGTTTAGTTTCAATGGCTACGGCGGCCACATTGGACTTTATTGTACCAATGAAACAACAATGTGTAGGTACTCACCCGCCGGGCAGACAGTACAGGAGGTGGCCATGGCCGCGGAGTAGTAGCCGTCAGGACAGTCCGTCTCCGCTGTGGTGCTGCACTGTTTTCCCGCGCTGCACTGAGTGCACGAGTCACTTCCGACAGACGAGAAGAAGCCGTTGGGACACTGCGTCTCGCTGGACGCTCCACTGGGGCAGTAGTACCCGGCGCTGCACTGTGTGCACGTCATCGCTGTGGGTCAGGAAGAAAACATGGAGTCACTCTAAAGATGTGAATGGTTGGCGAACGGGGGCTTTGGTGTGGTTTACTCCTTCTTTCCTATCAAACATCTGTCGTCCTTATCTCTCCTCCTTTTTAGTGTATGTTACTCTCTTGAAAATGGTGAAATGGGACAGGTTTAACGCCCCTATCAACACTGTTAGGCTATTTAAGAGGCTAGACCTCCGAGTCTGTCTCTGAAAGGAGAGAGCCAAGTGGGAAATTCGTGTCAGATCGAGCTGAGGCTCGAACCTCCGAACCCGCAATCTCACGATTACGAGTCCGGTAGCGTAACAACAAGGCCACCGACGCCACTGTTACTCTCTTGTAACACATCTATTCTTCGGCCCTTATATGACCTCATTGTGTTGCAAGCGCCGTATAAACTCTCACTTAAACAAACTTTCTCTGAAGACCGGTTATACCACTTTGATTTTGATGATTTTTTTGTGTTTACATTGCGTCCTGTTGGCCCACCGTATGAAAAGATACTATTCAAGATTTTGACAGGATGGAATTTTACTACGCATAACACTCCTGTCTAGGGTGATGTTGATGTGGGGAAAAAAGCTTGCAGTGTGTCAATAAAGTCAATATTGAAATGCACTACAAAAATGACGTCATGTTAACTACTTGCTTATAATTTTTGACGATCAATTTGTAAATAATTTGAAAGTGGATGACTTTAAATTAATCAAACAACAACAACAATAATAATAATAATAATAATAATAATAATAATAATAATAATAATAATAATAAAAACGAGATAATAATAATAGTAATAACAATAATGATGGTAATATTATTATAATTATTACCATTATTTATTATTGCCACCCTTTTACGATATGTCAATTTGACCTAATTTTTGCATAGTGCTTTTCAGGCCTTGACTCGATATCCTTGCTGTTAGATCTAGACAACCTAACACGAAAGAGGTTATTTAACACCAGAGCTCGCAGCAGTGACGTCACACAAGCTCAAAGCACTTAACACTATATTATTATATTATTGGGGTGTTGGGTTCAGGGGCAGGGTAGTACCTCACGGTGAGTGACAGTCACATCCTGTATGGATGGTCACGACCCTACTTGGTCCCCACTTCTGCACCTAGCTCACGTATGGCTCCACGGATAATGCTAGTGTATGGCAGTGGCCACACCCCGGGCAACGGTTTTGGCTGACCGGCTAAACTACGAGAGTGAGCCTTCGGGCGGGGAATGTCTACCCCTAGTACACTAAGACTGGCTCCGACAGGCTGAGCGGAGGAAACCCCCAGGGTTCAACAGGTTGAAAGGCGGACCCAGCAAAGCGCTGTAGAGCACAGCATAGGGCACAGAGAGGCACAAAAGACACTGCTGACCATCCACTGCATCCTGACCTTTCTTCAGTCGTCTCGACCATGTCCTGCCACTGGCTACAGCTGAGCCGGGACGAGAGAGTGAGGCTGACGACCTGCACAACTCTCCCTCACTGTAATCCAAGTCAAGCGCAAGTCATGACTTCATCCCATAATTATTACCCTAGCAGACCATAGAACATTCGGAAACATTCTCAGCTTCCCGGGAAGCATACAGTGCGAGCAGCTGATTAAGCGCTCAGACACTAACAAACTGACAAGATTTTTCACTGTCTATAGCTGGGTACCCATTCCCACCTGGTTGAAGGGAGGAAAATTCGTGTAAAGTGCCTTTTCCAAGGACACAAAGTCGTGTCCCTGAGTGGGAATCGAACCCATGCCCCTACGGTTGCAAGTCTGAGAGCCTCACCACAAGGCCACCAAGACCACTCTCTTCTTACCCCACCCCCTCCCTCAAGGCAGTGTTACTGATTCAAGTGTCTTTAGGCCATTTCCAAAGGGGGGATATTAATATGTTCTTATGCACAGTAGAATTATAAATGGGCTGATTCATCAATGTCATGCTCATACTGTGCCGTAACAACATAAGGGGAACTGCTGCTTTTTCTTTCTCCATCCTCACTATTGTCATTTTTCTTCAACTTCTTCTGTATGTTTGTCACTCTCTCGTGAACTGCTATTTCTGAGATGTTTTGGTAGTCGAAGCAGACCTTGAGCTGTTGAGGCTAGAGAGGTGAGCAGAGTAAGCCTGCATCCCCGTTTAGACTTCTCTGGTGACATCCACCCCTTGGAGATCATATGGCCTTATGCTGCTGCGAGTGCCGTAAATCCTTACTAAAACAATTTTACATGGGGGACATCACTGTCTCGAACTCTGGTACTAAATAATATTTGTGAGACATCGTTGTGAAATCAGGCGTTCGTCAAAATAATGAAATCAAAGTAATCAGCATTTTTTTAAATTGCCGATGGGCAGTTTATTTTTCTCATTTTCTTCTCTTTTTTGCCCCAACACCTGCCATGTACACATGAAAACTGATTTCCAAGTGATTTTACTCAAAAACGTAGATTAAAAACACAAAATATGAAAATGTCCAGTTTCCAAGGACTCTCAAGCTATTGAAGTTACCAAACTTAGGGGGCTATTTTCTCCCTAATTTTACTTCTAAAACCAGGCGACCTCCACCTCCTTCAATGACAAATATTTAGACTCCCATTTAAGATAACTGTGTACTTTTTCTGTAAAAACGAAGCAAATGAATAAGCTTTCTGGTGATACTAAAAACTCCCCATGCTAAAAAATTGACGAGCGCCTGACTCCATCTGTCTTCCTACCACTACCAACTCAATCTGATTCACTCACATCCACTGGCGCTGTACTCTCCAGGGTTACAGGCCACGGGCGTTGATGAGGCGGAGGCACAGCCAAAGCCGGCGGGGCAACTGGTGCAGGACGTAGCGCCTCCCGTGGAGTAGGTGTCTGAGGGAGGGAACCATGGTGTATAGAGTAGGTGTCAGGGAGGGAACCAAGATGTATAGAGTAGGTGTCTGAGGGAGGGAGCCATGGTGAATTTGTATATAGAGTAGGTGTCTGAGGGAGGGAACCATGGTGTATAGAGTAGGTGTCTGAGGGAGGGAACCATGGTGTATAGAGTAGGTGTCTGAGAGAGGGAGCCATGGTGCATAATATAGAGTAGGTGTCTGGGAGAGGGAGCCATGGTGTATAGAGTAGGTGTCTGAGGGAGGGAACCATGGTGTATAGAGTAGGTGTCTGAGGGAGGGAACCATGGTGCATAGAGTAGGTGTCTGAGGGAGGGAGCCATGGTGTATTTGTATATAGAGTAGGTGTTTGAGGGAGGGAACCATGGTGTATATAGAGTAGGTGTCTGAGGGAGGGAACCATGGTGTATAGAGTAGGAGTCTAAGGGAGAGAACCATGGTGTATATAGAGTAGGTGTCTTAGGTAGGGAGCCATGGTGTATATAGAGTAGGTGTCTTAGGGAGGGAACCATAGTGTGTATAGTGTATAGAGTAGATGTCTGAAGGGGGGAGGGGGAGCCATGGTGTATATAGAGTAGGTGTCTGAGGGAGGGAACCATGGTGCATATAGAGTAGGTATCTGAGGGAGGGAACCATAGTGTATATTGAGTAGGTGTCTGAGGGAGAGAACCATGGTGTGTTTAGAATAGGTTTCTGAGGGAGGGAACCATGATGAGTATAATATACGTTTTGTTCTGTGTCTTTGTGTATGTCTCAGTCTCTGTCTGTCATTCTGTCTGTCTGTCTGTCTGTCTGTCTGTCTGTCTGTCTGTCTGTCTGTCTGTCTCTCTCTCTCTCTCTCTCTCTCTCTCTCTCTCTCTCTCTCTCTCTCTGAGTGTGTGTATGTGTGTGTGTATAGTATGCATGGGACTGTAAGCCTGTTTGTGAGTGCAAGCATACTGTGTGTGTGCATGTTTGTGTGTGTGTGTGTGTGTGTGTGTGTGTGTGTGTGTGTGTGTGTGCGTATTTGCGCGTGTGTGTCTGTGTGTAAGTGTGTACGTATTGAAACACCAAAAAAGGTCCCTGAATTTGGACAATCGTATATCTTATCTTGTATATTGTTACAATAAAAATACCGAGTACGTATCTAGCATACTAAAATTATTATTGTTTATGTTACAATTCATTTATATTACGCATGTGATTGAATGCCTGTTGGTGAGTGCAAGCATAGTGCGTGTGAGCATGTTTGTGTGTGTGTATGTGTGTGTGTGTGTGTGTGCGTGCGTGTGTGTGTGTGCGTGCGTGTGTGTGTGTGTGTGTGTGTGTGTGTGTGTGTGTGTGTGTGTGTGTGTGGTGTGTGTGTGTGCGTGCGTGCGTGCATGTCTCTTTTTATTAAGATGTATCTTATCTCATATCTTATCTTGTGACGTCACGTGAACCATGCGTGAGTCCAGGGCAGGACAGAAGGCTACTCACTTGCCGGGCAGGTGGCGGGGGAGGCGGTGGTGGAGGCGCAGAATGAGCCGGCCGGACAGCTGGTGCAAGTGCTCTCACCCAACAGGGAATACGTGCCCGCACTGCACGACACCGGGCTCGACCTGGGAGACGCAGGGGAACAGGTGAGCAATATGACCTTATGTAGTTGCGAGCGCCGTAAAACTTTACTAAACAAACAAGAGATGAGCAACAAATTGTGACTTACCTTTTTTTTTTGGTTAGTGTTTTATGGTGCTCGCACGGGACACACCAAACATTTTCAGTTGGCAAGAAATTTTGAATTTTGCCCTGGTGGCCAAGAGGTTAAGGTGTTTGCCTCTCATTCAAAGGTCCCTGGTTCGAATCCAAATAGTGACGGAAAACATGTCTTCTCTAAAATTCTCTCATTTCACCTCCGTTCCTGCTCTCTAGCATTGGTCTGTCGTCTGCTTTCGAGTCCATTTTCTGCCCCCTTCCCCTCACCTCCTTTGGCCACTCCTCAAGGCTCCGGACTCTTTCTGCAGCCTTCCTACCGCTACTCCTGTGCTCTTTACTGCTGTTTTTCAGCCACACCCCTGATCTTCTGGTTGGAAAGATCTACACCTAGCCTTCTCGGACAAGTGCAAACCATCTTGGAGATCCCGTGTGCAAGTTGAGCACGCTAAAAATCCCAATGTGGTCTAAAATCGATAAGAATAGGCTTCGGCCGCCACCGGAGCAAAAAATTGAAAATTTCCAACTAAGTGAAAATGTTTAATGTAATTCAGCGCGCTCATGTGGCCTTATGCAGTTGCGAGCGCCGTAACACACTTAATTTTTAAAAAAAAGGAAGAGACGATACACCAGGAGGAATATAACACCCACTGACGTCTCGGCAGCGATGCTCAGGAGTATTCTCAAGGGTTTCACACCTTTTTAGCGGGTGCAAAGAGTCTATCTAACATTTCCCTCTGCTCCTTTATTGATCTGTGTATCTCTTGGTGCAAATTTGTTCTTTGTAGGCATGATTTTACCTTTTCCCAGTATGTTTTGCCATCACTGTTATGCACGAGTACTGTTTGTCATAATTAGCAACATAATTGTGATCGTCCACTGTCTTTGATATGACCTGATATCTGTTTCAAAGCAAAAGAAACCTCTCCTGGGTTTTTTAATTCTTAAAGTGCGCTTTTCTCTCTGGAGGCAAGACTTGTCTTTTCCTGTACATTGTGTCATCATTGTTATGTACAAGTCATGTTTGTCATCACTGTTATGTACAGGTCAGCTCAATTGATTTTGTGCTTTTGCCTCATATTAATTTAAAAATTGTTTTACACATGTGTTTTTCTAGTACTGAGGCTTTGATAACTGTATTTGTACAGCCATTCACTATTGTGATGTGTTGTCAATGATAATGTCCAATGTGTATCCTTCCTTTCTTGTACATAAGAATGATGACATGTTCTGTGCACTGCGTCATTGTTACAAAGCTTGTCATTCATATTACCATTATGAATGGAGTTCATAGTGTACAAATCTTTGTTTACTAAACAAATGGAATTTAAAGTCAATAATTTGCCTTGCTGCTTATCTGTTTTTGTCATCACTGTTACATACAAGAAATACAGTGGTTGCCAAACCAATAGACCCATATCTCCAAAACCATACATCTCCTTGCTCTGATACTCTAGGAATATGAGCACTAAATGTCAATCTGTGACTGACAGAAAAGAGAGTGAAATTGGTAAGAAATTTTTTTTTGCACCACTGAATCTCAAGAGAGTCTCACGTTTTGGCAATTGCTCAGATACCTGTATCATCCATACATTTTCCCTATCTGTCTCTGTCTTTTTCTGTCTCTCCATATCCCCGTCTCTCTTTTTCTCTCTGTCTGTCCCTGTCTCACTCTCCTTCTGTCTCATTCTCTTCTCCCCCCCTCTCTCTCTCTCTCTCTCTCTCTCTCTCTCTCTCTCTCTCTCTCTCTCTCTCTCTCCCTCTCTCTTTGTCACTGTCTCCCTCACTCTCTTTCTACCTCTCTCTCTTTCTTTATCTATCTATCAGAATATTATCTTCGTTGCAGGTTTATAAATTGAACGGGAATTAACCTGAAGACACGCCCACGTAGAACCGGAACCAAATTAGTATGAGAAATGATCAAAGAAGAGCGTAAGGCACAACAGTTCAATGAAAGAGTTGCAAAAGAAATATAAAAAATTTCAAACAATACATAATAATATACTATTATGTTCCCTTTCTATTTGTATTTCAAAGGTCAGAGCTACGTACGCTGGGTTGGTACACTGGGAGCCAGCCGGACATTGTTCACACACACTCTGGTCAGAACTGGGAACTTCATCTGTAACAGAAAGTTTGCTTTGAAAATGTAGGAAAAAGAAAGTAGTGGTCTCTCGGCAGATTTGACGGGAGATCTAGACAGTCACCAACCTAACTCTGTGCTTTCTGCTTTAAATTTTGACAATATGAAACAACAGAAACTAGAACAATTTCCTAGAAGAAACACAAGTTTAGGCCCCATAAATGGTTAACTTTTAACTACAATAACTGTTCGTTCTTAACTGTTTATACGTATGGCTCTTTTCGTCTATGCAGACGGTCAATTTAGCTTAAGACGGTCTCAAGGTTGTCTTCATGCAGCTTCTTTTATGGCTAGTTTTCTTATGTTTGAAGCGCAGATTCTATCCCTGAGCTTGCATGTCAGTGACGTGGATCGAAGTTCTGTATTTCCACTCTTTTCCTTTCGTCGTTGGCGCTTCTCAGCCAAGTTGTTTCTGAGGCTTCTCTCTAGCATTGTAGTTCTTTCCTTTATCGTTTTCCTCCATGTTTTCCTGTCCTCAGCTATTTCTTTCCAAATGCTGACATATACTTATAAATCAGCAAACTCTGGCTTTAAAAAATTTTTTTTTTTAGATGTTCCCGATTTCATAAAAAAAAAACCAAGAGGTACACAATTATGCGGGTAAACCTCATTTCAGAAATAACTGTTGAGTCAGTACAGAAGACAATATTTATGGCGTTTTGTAATGTAAGTTCCTTTAACACAGACTGAATAAAAACAAAAGAAGACACCAAAAAAACTCGCACAACCAGAACTGACCTGCAGCACATATAGTACAACTGTCGCTACCAGCTGCAGCTACATAGCCCGCCGCACAGGCCACAGGGTCAGAGGTCGTTCCCGGGCACTCATGACCAGCTGTGCATGTGCTGCATGAACTCTGACCTGGGGGGTTGGAGTGAAGGTTTCAGGTCAAGATGGTTCAAATAATGTTGCTATAATATAATTGTACCATATTATTCTCTCTGGCTATATATTACAGTACTGAAGGCAAATGAAGAAAGATAAATTTTGTTAGTGATGACCATGATGATGAAGGTCTTACTATATTCCCGAAGAAGCCCAAACAGAGCGAAACATAGCCAATTTCTTGGTTGATAATTCTTATACCTTGGAATTAAAAGAAAACCCAAACCCAAGTTTTCATTTACTTTTTGTTGACCCCC